GCCAAGGGATCAATATAATTTCATGTAATGTTAAAATAAATAGATTTTTTCCTATTAAAAATAGATTTCTTTTCATACTTTTTGAAATTCTTTAAGTATATATTAATAGAATTATTTACGTCGTACAAATGTATGTAAGTGATTTACATGCCCATCGTATCCTCACTACCTTAGAAGTTAAAACACAATAAGTTTTATTCTACTGAATCTCTTAAAACTTTTTTGATTTTGATTTTTTAATCTTTGCCTACTACCGAAAAGAAGCAATAAATGCAAATAAATTAAATAGTGCTTTCACGAACACTTTAGTCTACTATAAGAATCTTTTTCGGGTCGCTTTACGTCGTTTTCATCGTAACCAGCGTGGAGATTTTCGTCGTGAAAACGCGTTTCATGAGAAAAATGAAGCTTATATTACAACTGAGATAGTTAGTTCTGTGAAACTTCGTCAGTATCTCCAAAGGAGAAGAAGTTGAAGCTTTATACTCAAAACGCCTTGATTTTGACCTATTTTTCTACCTCTTCCCATCCCTCCAGGTGTATTCATCTTACAATTATGATGTATATTCATCATAAAAGTATTCATCGGTACTAAAATCAAATTGTTACCCCACTTTGAGTCCAAAAATCATCATGAGAAAACATTTATCTTTTAGTAAAAGAATGTGAAATAAAGTGAAAAATCCCTAGTTGTTGCCTAGATTTTTATGCCAAGGCTCCCAAGGTTTTTATTCTTTATTGGACTACCAGAATTTACTAAAGCAATCAATTCAATTTTTCAAAATTTGAAGACAATGTTAAAATGATATTTACAACGATAAAACAGGAGTTTATAAACATCATACATAACATTTATCTATATATTTGTGTTCGAGAAAAACACTTATTGTACACGGACTCTATTGTTCGGGGCACTTGCGGCAATGCTTATATGAGAAAAAAGTTTGAATATATAGAAAAGGAGAGAAAAATTTACGAACCTAAAAAATTGAGATTTTCTAGGCTTTGAAGGAAAAACTTCATAATGTTTTCCAGGGAGGTCATGGAGAGCTGAAAGTAGTCTCATTTTATAGCCCAGACTTTCCTCTACGTTACAGTATGTTCAGCTCAAAATCACAACTTTTTGTATACGGTACAGGTTAACAGTTAAGGATTAGTTACTCAATAGTGAAATTAGAAAGTGTTTATTTTCCTAGACCATTTTAAGTTATTGGTCTTCAGGAGGTGCAATGTTTCAGTTAACAAAAGATGCAACGAATATGTTATCTAAGAAAATTCATGTAATGACATTAGAACATTGTTAACAAAATGTGTTCTAAAGAAAGATGGACCGAAACGTACCATTTCAATTAAAATTATTGAAAGAAACAAATAATATGAACTCTGAAACAAGATTGGCTAGATATGTAAATATCTTACACAAAAATTTTAAGTGGTCCGATAAACATCTTATCATATTCTTACATCTATCAGCATTCATGAAATAATTTAAGATGATGCTTCCTATAAGCATGCAATTATCAAGTCAGTATGAGGTGTACTTGAGGGGCCAACATGTGGACTGATATTGGCGATAGATTCATAGATTTATATTGGTACTATAAGCTGTGATCCGATATGAAAGCTTGAGAATATGCCTAGCAAAGCTGATGATGAAACAACGTTAATCAAGTAAACAGAGCGATGAATTATTGAGTGTATGATGGCTTCCGTTGCACTTCACATATACTTCTAGAATGGTTTATCACACGTAGCTTAATCTGTTTTAAATTATTCGTAACTCTGAATGATGAAGACAAAAAGAGTAGCTCGAAATTTTATCGTGGCATAACGACTGGTGGATGTTATTGAGTCGTATCACGTCAAAGCACATTTTACGAACAAGAAATTCATAGCGACATCAAAATCTGGAGAAGTAACGTATTATCTTTGGAGTAAAAGATCTGATTTAGTGACTTGTTTATTCATGTACATACTAAAAGAAGTGCACAACAAACAGCACTTGATATCGAAAATTTCAGATGAATGAGAAACTTCTGTTTGTACAACAGGACAGTTAAAAATATAATGGCGAACATTAGTAATAATCCTTCGGAAAATATATGATTGATTTACGTAGATTTAGGTAGCCTTTTATTTTATTGAAACCCTTGTCTGAATATGTTCTATTTCCTAGCATGTTCGACAAATATCGTCATTGAAAGAATCACAATTTATTGTTTATTTAAAAATGAAAGAAAAAGGAGATTATACGCGTAGTTTTTGTTCTGATTTGCCAAGTGTTATTTTTTTGACAGGTTGATTTGTATTCTGATACCAAGTTCTTGCAGTAAAACTTTGGGTATTACCAGTGGTAATATGCGAGCTAATCGGCTGTTGACTATCAGCAGTAGCTATAGAATCATTTATAATTGATGTTGGATGGTCTTTTTCCACATGATTAAGGATACAATATGTATGCTCAAGTAGAATGCCTTCATCGAGCTCAAACGTTTGCAAATCAACTTCAGAAATGTCACCAGACCAGAGATCGATACGTTCTATATATATTTGTAAAGGTATCTTTAGATCGACATAAGCATTGAGTACTCGAATCAGAAGTCTTTTAAGTACTCCAATCCATATGATTGCTAATTTCAATATTGGCGAGATGTTGACTTTACCAAAAGTTTGAGCAACAAATTTGGTTTTTCCTCTGTCATCGAGTACTGCTTCACGTAGTTCTGTTTTGACATGCTGACGTAGTACAATATCAAATGCTACTTCTTCTACCAGCTCGTACAAGGCAATTATGTGAATGAGTGGAACCGTTGAAAATGGTGGTCGCCGAAAAAAATGCTCATTGAGACATGCATTAGTGTTCATGTGCTGTTCAACAAATGCTTGTATGCTGCTGCCAGATACATCATCGTCAATGTTGCATAGATATGTGAACACATGATCTAATAAACCTAAACAATGAACAATTTCATCGGGATTCATTCGAACAAGTAAACTTTTAAATTTTGCTTGATCAACCACAGATAATGATGTTTGATTAATTCGTCGTCGAATATTGGTAATAAGAGAGTTATTCTCGTTATACAATTCAAATTGATAGTTGAGCATGGGTAAATTGTCTGTATCAAATAAACAAAGACTACTAACAAGATTGCGCATATACATTTCAATTTCCTCATAATCATAGATTAGATCACGTCCTTGGCCATATTCATAATTGATAATGAAACTGTTTTCCACTAGTT